ATATAAATAAGCTTAATTATTTTCACTTTTTAAAATAATTTTAACATAAATTTTATATTTTATAATCAAATTATTTAAATATTTTTAAATACTATTATGAGGATTTTGTAAATTCAATTAAAATCATAAAAAGTATAAATTAAATTATGATAATTACTCAAAGTATCGTAAGTGAAAATTCACAATAATGTCAAAGATTATTCTCAATATAAAATATATATGATAAATATAAAATAAATATAAAGATATTTTAAAAATTACACTTAAGAAACTCTAAGTTAATATAGTAAATCAATACACTATTATATAATAAATTTATGAATAATAGTTAAAGTAATTACATATAAATACAAAGGATTCACAAATAAATTATAAATAGTTTCTAATAGTTGCAAAAAATAAGTTTTTTACTTGATTTATTATACTTCTTTATTAATATAATAATAAGTTCAGAATCTAAATAATTAATATCTTATTAGTACTAAAACTTAAAAAAATACAGGAATATTTATCATATTGAATAATTATTAAACTAAACTAAAATAAATATATCTGATAGAAATAAAGTTAAATTATTATTAGAAAATAAAGTTGCTATATTAATAAAGATAATTAATAGATTTTCAGGCAATAATATTAACATAGAAATTAAATAGACTGTTATATTAGAAATTAAATTAATATTTAAGATCTATATGAATATCAAAATAAACTAAATTGACAAAATTGATTTATATGAAAATAAAAGTATTAACTGATTTACATAAAGGATCTTTAAAGAAATAATATAGACAACATGATCATTAAATAATTTTAATAAATCTTTACCTTTATAATATCAACAAAATTGTCTTAAAAATAAAAGTAATATAAGTTAAATTTATTAATTAAATAAATAATTTTTCAAATGATAAATTTATTTTATATAATAGAAACTTAACTGCAAAATCAATTACAAAAATACTTATAATTAAAATAAGTTGAAAAAAGTTGAATGTAAGTTGAATCTTATTAATCAACCATTCAACTTTTTAAATGATAAATTTTATTTTTACTTTTCTATAATAGAAAAACAATTGCATCATTTAAAATAATAAGAAAAATACCAAAAATATTGTAGTCTATTTTTAGAATTACAAAAGGTCTAGCTTTAAACTATTCTTCTATTAACTAATTAACAAACTAACTGAAATTTCTTCATAAATTACATTATAAATCTTAAAGAATAAAAAAAAAGTAAAAAGAACTATTTGAATTAGTAGCAAATTTATAATAATAATTGAGTATATGAGGTAAGTAAATAAAATAAATTCTAAATTTGAATCTATTTGTATCAATAATTTAATTTATTAGAAAAAATTTTCATATAAAAATCGCTAAATAATTGTTTATAAAAAATGATGAATGAATTGTGAATTATGAGCAGTTACTTTTACTCTAAATACTTGCTGATAAATAATACTTTTTTCCTGAAATCAGTAAAACAAATGAAGAATATTGCCAAAAATTTGTTATTATTGTATATAATTATTTATAATAATCAGTTAAGATTTATTATATTTTTATATAATTTAACATTTTTTTATTTCTTTTTTTAGCTTAAATATCTTTTATGAACTTTACTTGATTCTAGCATTGTATCATCATTTTAAAATGAAAATACAATGATGATTTATAAATGCTATAATCGACTACAATCTGCCAATACATCTAATAGTCATATAAAGTCAATTAGTCATGGTTTATGATACTAAAATTAAAGCAGGTATTACTGCCTAAGAACATATAATAGAAATTGAAGAATATACAGAAGTTAGAAGGGTATCATCTGCTGGCAAAAGTTATGAAAATTTTATAATAGATAATGACAAATAATTGATGAAAATAAGATCTATTATTTTATTATATTTTACATTTTTTTTATGATTATTTTTTTTTTTTTTAATATTATATTTATTATATTTTACATTTTTTAAATAATTCTGAGGATTTTCGGAGGGAATAGATTATATTTTTTATTATTTTTTAGTACCTTTACTTTTTTGGATAACGTTGATAATAAAAATGAATATATAAAATATTTTCAAGTGATTTTAAGAGGGTAATAGATTATATTTTTTACTATTTATTTATGATCTTTGAATATAAATCTTATTTTTATTATTTTATTATTATTATTGCTTCGATAGATTGGTTTATATGACGAAATTCGTAGTGAGTTTTTTTTTCTAACGAGAATTTTTTGTAGCGACGTTACAGTAAACGAGCATCAAGAAGCTTAAATATTTGACCGGAATTAAATTCGTTAATTCTGGCTAAGTTTTTTTTAAAACCTTTGAATGTTTAGTTATCTTTGCGGTTAAATTGATTAAACGAAAATCGTAGATCGGCAATGTGTTACATCATGAAACATTGAATTGTTCATATTTGAGCCAATAACAAATCGTTTTTAATTAATTACAAAATTCATTGTGTTGTTTCGTTTTAATTAATTAATTAAACTCATTGTATCGTTTCCATTTTAGGTTCGAATTTCGAATTTGCGACTATTATGTACTACGGGGTTTTCCCCTGGCATTTATTATAAGTTTTAGAATATTGATCACGAGTTATAATCATTTATTCATAAATGTTCTACAGGGTAGAGGTTGGAACCGACAAAAAATTCTTTAACCGGTTATTAACCGGTTAATAACCGGTTAAAGATCGTTACAGCTAATTTCAAAAGTCACGGGACAGCCGATAATATCCGAGACATTTTCCGAGAAAATTTTTAAGGATTTGAAAAAGCAAACCACATTTTATATGGGTAAAAAAAAATATGTCGCTATATTCGGAACACTGATCCGAACGTAGCGATAATGTTTTTTCTTCAATAAATTCTATACCGAGTTTTACCGAGTTTTTTTATCGATCTGCAAAATGATCGTCCGTCCCGTGACTTTTGAAATTAGCTGTAACCAACCTCACTATATAATTTATGATTAAAAAAATTCCTCGATGTTTGAGTCTTTTAATTAGATTTAAAATCTTATTAAGTTTATTAGAGAAATTAATTACCCAAGTATTTTATTGAAATGTCTGTTAATTCTATTATTTCAATTTCAATGTTATAAAATTTTGTTTTGCATCTTTTGTATGCCTTGTATAAGAAAAATACCGTCAATAAGATAATAACAATGCCACCAATAATAAATATGCTATAAGATTGTGGCTCAGAAAATGGATTAAACTCTGTTGTCCAACTATACCCTGTATCACTAATTTCTAGCAACAATACATCATTCTCCATAGTATTTTGATCATAACCTTTCCCTATCAAGCTTAGAATTAATAATATATTTTACGACGACATTAATCAATAAACAAAAATCAAATGTGATAATTACCGAATGCTATCACCATGTAACTTCCAATTCGATTTGCAGTATGAAAATGTCGAGATCTCGGAGGTTTTCCAGTAACTTTTGGAATACTCCATTTGAAATTATTGAGTTCCAAATTATAAATTGAATCTTCTTGACTAAAACCGGAAACCGTTTCGTTTTTCCCCCCAAAAATTATCACCTGTTGACCTTTTAATCCTATGATAATGGCAATATTAGAAATCTTTTTTCGAAATTTTACGATTTTGACTGAATAACTTACCAAGCACAGCAGAAAAGCCATACCTGTTAGAAGGTATTGACCCACTAGTTCCCTTTAAATAATAATTATATATCAATATTCTTTATCAAAGATGATGATAATGTCATATTTAACTTACCCTTGAACTCCATTTATCACTAGTAGTATTATATAAGAAGACCTAAAGAAATGGGCCTGTTACAATCAATTAATTATTATTGGAAAAATAAAAATATACATATTAGAAAATAATATACCTGACTCAACGATGAAGATTTCGGACCTCGTCTACCGCCTAGTTCCACATATAATTGTGAATAGCGTAAAATAATTGTTTCCTTTCTTTTTTTTTTCTGAATAATTTCTGCTCAAAACAATTTTTTTTAATTAATTACTTACCTAGATACATAATATTTTTATCAAGTAAAAGAACTGCTCCATAATCCATTCTTGGATCAGGCCCATTTATTGAGCTTGCAATCCCCCATTGTAATGTTTGTAAATTTAAATAGAGCATTTCATTGACAGTTCTTTCCTTTTTCGAGAATCCACCAAATAAGTACATTATGCTATCACAATTAATTGCAGTTATTCCCGACCTATGCGGATAACTTTCATTAAGTTCATTCCATCTATTATCTATCGTATCATAAATATAAATCAAGGACATCCTTTCACTCTTGAAATGACTTCCCCCATATAAAATTAATGTCTTATCATCAACACCTTTAACGGTGGTGGCTCCGGAATGTGCCGGAACATTATTATCGTTTGTCATGTCATTCCATGATAACTCTTGAGTTGTTTTGAATTTAGTAGAAAAATCCAGACTAAAGAACCCTTTACCAACAAATTTCATATCTTCTTCTGCAAAGATCACATTTCCACCTAAAATGTATAGTTTATTATTGATAAATGTCGCTGTATGATGTTTTCTTTGCAAGGGCAAAGTTTTATTTTGACAGTTTACTTGAATAATTAAAATCCATAATACAACATATATCGAATTCATGCTCGCCTTTGACGCTGTTTATTAAATCAATTAATAAATTGCGGTAAAGATTGCTTTTTAGTTTTTAAAATAAAAATAAAAATAAAAAAAAAAGAAAGTAAAATAAATAATAAAATAAAATAAAAGGAGCAACATTGAAATAAAAAACGTTCGGTTAAATTCTCGGGAAATTTCCAAGAATGCATTACATGCCAAGCCAAGCATAGCATTTAGTCCCTGCATTACAAAATTCCGAAACCATGACGATCGATCTAATTTGGAAATAATTACCGATGAAAAATAATTTAAATTGAATGCTCAAGGTAACTGTACTTTTTTTTCCAGCAAATTTAAGCATCTATTGAATATATAACAAAAAAAAATGGCTCTCGAATATATCGATCAAAAGATTAAAAATGGTGATATTACTTTTTTTGAATACGAGGAATTCAGTAAAGTGGAGAAAGTTTGTAAAGGAGGATTTGGAATTATAAAAAGTGCTGATTGGGAGAATCGTGGGATTAAAGTAGCGTTAAAAACTCTGAAAAATAAACCTTCGATCAATGAGGATAGTATGAACAGATTTCTTAAAGAGGTAAAGTCATATCATTATGTGTGTGATCAAACGCTTTGAAATTAAATTATCTTAATGTTTACGCTTTATATTTAGTTAAAAAACTTGAGAAAAGTTAGTTCACATCCCAATATCAACAGATTTTTCGGAATTACAAAAGGTTGACATTTTTTTTTTTCAGAGTTTAATTTATCGTTATTATGCTTAACATCTAATCGATTGATAATAGATCCAATAAATGATTATGCAATTGTTTTGCAATATGCTCATCAAGGGAACTTGAGAGAATATTTAGAAAAAAACAAAAATAAGTTTCAATGGAATTTTAAATTTCAGATGGCTTTAGATATTGTTTGCGGATTAAAGTATTTGCACGCAGAAAACATTATTCATAAAGATTTGGTAACTATTTTTTACATTTTACTTGAATTATGTATACAACATTATTTTCAAAATTTAACATTTATGATTTAAAGCATTCAAAGAATATATTAGTCAATGATAATCGATTAATTATCGCAGATTTTGGATTATCAAGACAAATATCAGAAACTGAATCATCTGTTTCCGTATGTGGATTGTCCGCATACATCGATCCGCAAAGTTTTAAAATTGATTACTATAGAAGAGATAAAAGGTCAGACATTTATAGTTTAGGTGTTTTGTTATGGGAGATTTCGAGTGGACATCCTCCTTTCCAGGGAATACAAGAAGGTACCATAATATACCAAATTATTTCTAATGGCCTTAGAGAAGAACCAATCAAACATACCCCACCGGAATATCGGCAAATTTATCAAGAATGCTGGGATGAAGATCCTAACTTAAGACCTAATATCAATGAAGTTTACAGCATATTAAAGCAATTAGAATTACAATGCGATGGTGGTGAATTAAGAGATGAAATATTCGATGCATTACATGAAATTATTCATGCATATTTAAATAATAATAGGGTTGGGTTAAATAATCTTCTTAAAGAGGCTTTAGATAAACATGAATCAAAATCACGAGAAATTTTTAAATTTCTCATGGATGATCCAACGATAAAACATTACGAGTTAATAATTGGAGTGTTTTATGGAAAAGGTTTCGGAGTATGTCAGGATGATGAGAAAAGCTACAAGTGGATCGCAAAAGCAAGTAAGAAAAATGATATCGATGGAGATTGTGAACTTGGGAGTTGTTATTACAGGGGATATGGCATTGAGAAAAATCTTGAAAAAGCAGTATCATATTATCAACATGCAAGTAATGGAGGATTGAACGTAGCTCTATACAACCTTGCAATTTGTTATGCAAATGGTTACGGCGTACGTAAAAATTTGTCGGAGGCATTTAAATTATATAAAAGATCTGCTGAGAATGGGTATATACTCTCTCAAGTAATTGTAGCAAACCATTATAACCTGGGAAAGATCGTTCGAAAAAACAAAAGTGAAGCATTAAAATGGTATAAGTCATATCAAATGAATAACGGTGTTATTAATGTATCAAGACACATTGAAATTATAGAAAAATCTTTGGTAAAGAAAATTTTTTTTTTTTTTTTTATCAAGTATTTGCAATGAGTGAATATTAACGATTCAGCTTAATTAATAGATCAAGGAAGGAATTCATAATAAATTAAAAAGAAATATAAGCCGCCGTTTAAAATTTCGTCGGTTTCAGAAATTTGATATTAAAAATCCTCATGTATTTATTTATTGAATTTATTTTAAAAATGACTCGCTTAGCTTTAGAAAAATCTGTACCTTTTTTTTTGCATTTTTTCAACTAAATAAAATAGAAAAAAATTAATTTGTATCTGGTAAGAGATATGATGCTAAATATTTTACATAATCGTTAATTTATACGTACATGTACTGTAAAAATAAATACATTTAAATCGCGAGAAAATTTGAAAAAGAGTAAAAATCTAAATTTGATTTATTAATAATTCAAAAACTTGGGTATGGCTATATAAATAATCGTTATATTTTTTCTTATTTTAACAAGATATTTTCTTTCTAAAAAATTATAGATCAAATATTAAGTCCGTTGTGATCAAAATTATCTAATTAAAAAGAAAAATTCATTATAGTCTTATTTTTATTAGTTTAAAATATTTTAATTAAAATATTATTTATTAGACGTTATCACTAAAATTATTGCTCTTGATTTTTAAAAAAGTTCAGATTCTGATAAGTTTCCTTTGAATTTCATAATAATAAATAATCAGTTTTTGGCATAGAAGATAATACTGAAAAAGAAAATGTGTTTCTGGATTAACATCACTCAATTGTCATTGTTTATATTTCTATAGACATTTGTTGCATGTAAACACATTTTTCATGAAATAAGTATGGTAGGTAGTTTGATATTATTGACCGGCGAAATCTATGTAAGATTTCAAGGAATGTGAGGAAAATAGATTAAAATATATTAACATTATTGAATTATTAATGATTAGAACAGTAAAAAATAGGAAGCTGAAACTTACTGATGAGTTGCGTTTCAAACTTTTGAAAGTTTTTAAAATAATTTCAAACGAATATCGAAATGATTTCGGATATTGAATATCAAAAATCATTTCGAAAAATATATATAAAAAAAATATTCTCATACTAAATTAAAATGTGATCGATCAAAATTCTTTAATTTTGGCCAATTTGTAATTTTAGAACCGGCCAATTTTATATCAGACTTAATGAAGTTACTAAAATTTAAACTTATATAACTTATACTATAGTAATGCGACTTAAAAAAACTCGCTGTTATATGAAAGAATATTATTTAAATTACAATTTTACAGAAAAAAATTTAAAATATATTAATTAATTTTTTTCTATTAATTCAAAACACATAATAAAAAGTGGTAGCTTTAGTTTGCGTGCACCATATTAAAAGTTTATCATGTGATTATAAAGTTTATAAACTGTACTTTTATTTATAATTCCTTCCTTACAACTTATTAGTTTCATGCAGCTTCCCAAGCAATACATTGTGCTGAAATTGTTTCTCAAACTAATATTTTTGATGGGCTAAACTTCACTTCAAAATCTGCTTCAGGTGCTAAATATAGAATCGATATATTTCCAAAAAAATCTTTTATTTTTGTTTCTTTCTCAATAGGTAAACTTTCTCAATCCTTCAAAACTTTAGAATTATCACTTATTTTACATGTATAATAGGCATTTGATGGAGTTAAGATGATTTAGAAATTAAATGTGATTGTCGTATGATTAGGTCGGGCAAAGAAAATTTTAAATTTTAGATAAAATTTTAAAATCGACACGGGTCACCCGGTTTTTTTTTCTTCTCATATGTAAGTTTTTTCTATTATACAAATACACAAATGAAGATAAATTTATGTAAATCTTTTTTTCGCCACTTTCTTTTTAAACAAAATGATATGCCCGATTTTATTATGTAAGATCACATAATAAAAATTTTACTATAAAAAAAAAAATCTTGAATTTTCGTAAACTGATACGGCTGAGTCACAAAATCTGAAAATTTACTTTGTACGGCCTTGTCCCCTTAAAGATTTAATAAACTCTGGGTTTCCAGGTCGATTTTAAAATTTCAATATTACGTGAACCAAAAAATGGCCTTAAAATATTAATTATGTATTTTCGAATACTTGAATTTTATTTATTTACAAACAAATATTCGAATATACTATTTCCAAACGGAAACCAAAGGATTTATGATGAATATTGGTAGGTTGAAGAAAGGTACTATTGAAAGAACAGAAGCATATACTGTATAAATTCCTAGAAACATCTTTAAATAATAAAGCATTAATAACTATAAAAAAAAAGAATATTAAAGATGTCTTCGTAGGTTTATTTATTACAGAGGGTTATCAAAAGTTTCCGAACGAATTTTTATGCAATATAAAATGCTTAATTTTTAAAATTCAACTAAAAAAACTTTATTAAACTTTATTTTAAGCTTATCAAAACCTACATTTTGTATTATTAAACTAGTATTTAATTAGGCCACCTTCTGCCGCAATCACCTCTTGAATTCGTGCTGGCATACTATCAACTAAATTTTCGATCAGACATTTTGGAATTGCTTTCCATGCATTTTTAATATCCCTTTCAAGTTCAGCAAGGTTGGTTGGATTTTTCTTTTTATTTCTGATTTTCTTTTTTACTTCAGCTCATAAATTTTCAATTGGGTTAAGGTCTGGGCTTTGAGCGGGCCAAGAAAGAATGTGCAGATTTTTTTCTGCACAAAATGATGATGCAACCTTTATTTTGTAGAGTCTAGCATTATCTTCTTGAAACAAACCATTATTTCTTAGAAACATGCGTTTTATTGTAGGAAAAGCATATTTTCACAGTATTTCAACATGAGTAGCTCCGGTTGCTGATCCATGTAGTACAATCAGTCCCATCCCTTTTCGTGAAAAACAACCCTAAAACATGCGGTTTGGACTGTGTTTAACTGTGGCTGAAACACAAGAGAGTGACCATTCATCTTTTGGTTCTCTCTATACTCTGCTAGTACGACTTTGCTGAAATTGAGTAAAGGTCGATTTATCACTCTATAATACTTTTGCCCAATCATATTTTGTCCAACTTTCATGTTCTAAACACTATGCAAGTCGTGTCTCTTTATTTGCTAGTGAAATAAGAGGTTTTCATTGTGTAACACAACTTCTTAGTCCAAGTAAATGAAGGGTATGACGAATGGTAATTTCTGAAACATTCTGGCTTGTTTTTTTTCCATAGTTCTTTTATTCCAGTAGCACATAATCGTTAATTTTGTGCTTTTTTGCTTGTTACCAAACATTTAAGCTGATAGCGATTCGTGATGTTGATCAGATATGGTCGTCTGGGGTGAAGCTTAGAATTAATAGATCCAGTTTTGGCATGCCTTTTTAATGTTGTTAGCTTGATATCTGTAAACTTAAGCGATAAACTTTTAATTCAATCCGTCAAATTAAATACAAGACAATATCACAATCATGCCTATATGAAGACACGACAAAAAGCAATAGTAAATAAATTTAATGATTCCTTTATTGAACTCTTAGTTTATCCTAAAACCTCAACTTGAGTTACTTTTTGACTCAAGGGAAAATACAAGATATTTACATAAAATAAAATAATATAAAATCAACTATAACAAATATAATAAAGAGAACAAATAATATAACTATAATAAAT